GGGACTGTTGGACAACACACAGGTGTTGACCTGAGTGAGCAGGGAGCTAACCGATTTCTTTATAAACAACACAACAGACTCGATCCCAATACAAACTGTCTGGGTCGCGCACAAGGCGGTCACATGAGGAATATTTATTAGAGAAGGATCAAAACGTAAAAAACGTGCAAACGACACTCATAAAACCTCCAACAGGAACTAAAAAGCTTAGAGACACAAAACAAGTCTAATCCGTCCAAACCTCTCACGACACACAAACGAAATTCAGAAAGAACTACATGCACTCGAACTCCTGACTAGCAAAAGATGGATGAGATCCCTTAAAATAAAATACTACACACAGGGAAACAAAGTGGGTAGGTTATTGGCCAACAAACTAAAATCCAAACAACTACGAACTAAAATCCCTTACATTGACTCCTCAGCAAAAGGTAAACTATATAACCCCTCAGACATTGTCAATGAATTAGCAGGCTACTACGATAAATTAGACAACCTAAAAGATGATCCCATAATACCACAACCCAGTAATGATAACTGTGATGAGACCAATCTCGCCACTGTGCATTGGAAGAGCCTGGTTGCCCGCCTTCTGCCTTTTGACTATGGACCGGAATTTAAATACTTTATTTTCCTATTTAGAAAAGTCTATTCATGTATTTCTGTCCGGGCGTTCGGTAGATTCTATCTACCGAACAAACAGCTATCTATTGGCCTCCCAGGAGCTGCAGTTAGCTGGCAGGCGCCAGTAATTGGCCGTCCAAAAGCCGGCGAGCTTAATTAACCTCAGCTTAATTGACTATACCTGGTGGCCACGGCTATGCATACTGAACACTGGATGGCAGCAGTCTGCAGTTCAAACGCGGCTGGTTCATTCATGGATTTACTGAATAAACTCATTTAACCCAGATAGCTATGCCATGGAGCCTATTCGTGTAATAAAAGACTTTGGCTCCATGGCAATTGAACTGTATGTGTGTGGTCTGAGCGCCATTCGGTAATAATGTGCGCTCAGACCTAAGCTATCTGGGGATATGTTGCATGTCTATATTTTATGTAATAAATGTAACCTTGTGTATTTTACTGTCTTTTTACCTCCATGTGCTTAATGGAGTTTTGCCTCTGTTCTTGGAGATAATAGGATTACTTCCCACTTATCTCCATGATAGAGAGAAGGGATTGTGATGTCATGGTGGGAGTATTTATCTGTGTTGTATGTTTTTATTGGATGTTCTACAAAACCCTGTGGGTGGGACTTTGTCTGTAAAATGTATACATAAGGCCAATAAAGATGCAGCTCAGTCTGTTCCTGCTTGACCCTCAAAACGGAGCCTTGTCTCGTTCTTGGGGGGGGATTTATTGTATGATGTTCCAGTCCGACTGCTTTCGTATGGTTTTTCCTATTTGGCTGTTTAGAGCATTTGTATGCATCTCCGGTTTGGTGGACAGTAGCTGCCTGTATATCTGGAAGGGAATATCTCCTAAACGGCTGTTAACCCCTTTTATGCCTGGGGGTGTCATTACAATAACATTGCTACCTTTTTAGGGGACATAACCCTTCCCCGACTCACCTCTCAATGGAGCTCAAACTTAAACAGCACATTAACAGAAGAAGAAGTCTGCCAAGCCATACAATCCCTACCCAAACACAAGGCACCGGGCCCGGATGGTCTATCAAACTACTATTATCATAAACTAGAAACACTCTTAATACCACACCTCACCACATTATTCAATGCAATCAGTCGGGTGACCTCCCAATAGAGATGCTGGAAGCACACGTAGTGACTTTACCCAAACCGGGCAAACCACCTACACTATGTAAAAACCTCAGACCTATATCCCTGGTTAATGCAGATATTAAACTATATGCGAAACTCTGGGCGTCACAACTGATCTGGTTTTAACAGAACAAGCGGGATTCGTCCCCGTGAGGCAGGCAGGGGACAATACCAGACATTTCATAAATCTCATTAAACGGGCAAAATTCAGTAAACAAGCAGGGACGGTTCTAGTGCTCTACGCCGAAAGGGCATTTGACTGTCTGAACTGGATATATATGAAAGCAAAGGTACTCAAAATGGGTTTTACACCATCAACTCTGAGGGGAATTATGGCCCTATACCGATATCCCTCAGCCAGAGTCTTCAACTCAGGGATCATATCAGACAATTTCCACATCAGCAATGGCACACGCCAAGGCTGCCCCTTATCCCCACTTTTATTTATTTTATGTTTTAAACCACTCATACTACACATTAAAAAACACAGAGGAATAGAAGGTCTAAACACCCCGGCCGGAGTCCACAAAATGGCCCTTTTTGCGGACGACGTACTCGTATTCCTTACACGTCCACAAACTTCAATCCCGAACTTAATGGACCTGCTACAGCAATACGGTCAAGTGTAGTGATGTACCGAACGGTTCGCTGGCAAACGGTTCCTGGCGAACATAGCATGTTCGCGTTCGCCACGGCGGGCGAACATATGCGCGGTTCGACCCGCCCCCTATTCGTCATCATTGAGTAAACTTTGACCCTGTACCTCACAGTCAGCAGACACATTCCAGCCAATTAGCAGCACACCCTCCCTAGCAGACCCTCCCACCTCCTGGAAGGCATCCATTTTAGATTCATTCTCAAGCTGCATGCTTAGTAAGAGGAGGGAAAGTGTAGCTGCTGTTCATTAGATAGGGAAAAGCATAGCTAGGTTAGGGTTAGGGTATGCTTTTTTTTGATTTTTTTTTTTCTATGTAATGTAATTGCACTTAGTTGTCTGCCACTGCTGCCAGCTTCTGTGTCAGGCTCACAGTGCATACTGTGCCATTTCCCCAGTCAGTGCCACCACTTACATCTGGTGTCACAATAGCTTGGATTTAAAAACAAAAAACTTTTTTCACTGTTATAGATTGAATAGCAGTCAGTGTCCTTAAAGCGGGTGTGTTGTTACGCTAACAGTGGATACGGTGACCAGTGCCACCACTTAGATCTGGTGTCACAATAGCTTGGATCTAAAAACAAAAAACTTTTTTCACTGTTATAGATTGAATAGCAGTCAGTGTCCTTAAAGCGGGTGTGTTACGCTAACAGTGGATACGGTGACCAGTGCCACCACTTAGATCTGGTGATACCACTCACCCGCCTGCGCCACCGCAAAACTAGCACCACAGCCGCTTCAGTTGGTATGTCAGAGGAGTTATTCACACATCCGTTTGAAGAAATGAGTGATGCGCAACCATTATTGCCAGAGGATGTAGATAACAGGGATATGTCTCGGGCAGGCAGCATTACACACATGGACGTACGGTGTGATGATGATGATGATGTTGTACCCGCTGCTGCTTCCTTTGCTGAGTTGTCAGGATACAAGTGTTGATGATGACGCATGGCCCATGATGTCACGCAGGTGCCCGCTTCGCAAGAAGAAGAACAGGGCTTAAAGTTCAGATGGGGGAGACAGGAGGAGGAGTATACGGAAGTTGGAAGTAGGGGAGGCCCCTCACCATCCTCCTCCTGGTCCAGCATCTTCAGCCACGTCAACCACTGCTGTCCTCCTTGTCCCCTCTCAACCATCGCCACTCCGCCTCCGCCTTGAGCAGTTCACGCTCATCTTCCCACAGTCATGTGTCTGTCAAGGACATGTTTGAGCGTAAGAAGACAATGTCAGAAAGTCACCCCCTTGCCCAGCGTCTGACCGCTGGCTTGTCCGAACTATTAGCCCGCCAGCTTTTACCATACAAGCTGGTGGAGTCTGAGGCGTTCAAAAAATTTGTAGCTATTGGGACACCGCAGTGGAAGGTACCCGGCCGAAATTTATTTTCGCAAAAGGCAATCCCCAACCTGTACTCAATTGTGCAAAAGGAAATAATAGCATCTCTGGCACACAGTGTTGGGGCAAGGGTCCATCTGACCACCGATACCTGGTCTGCAAAGCATGGTCAGGGCAGGTATATCACCTACACTGCGCATTGGGTAAACCTGCTGACTGCTGCCAAGCATGGAATGCATGGCTCTGCAGAGGAGTTGGTGACACCGCCACGACTTGCAGGCAGTCCTGCTTGAAAGGTGTAAATTTGCTACTCTGGTCACTGTCCCTCTGGTCACTATTCTCCATCCGCATTGTCAGCTGAATAAAGGTCCTGGTTGTGATTACATATTGTCAGAACAAGCTAGATTATAATTTATCTCATGAATTAATATGTGTAAGAAGTGCTTCCCTTACCCTCCCAATACCCAAGCTATGTACTCACAGGTGCGGGTATTATAAGTCATAAGTGGTGTCAACTGTGAGGGGATGACATGTCTAACACGATCGCGGCCCCCACTCAGGTTTTCCCTAAATGTTCTTTTTCCTCAAATATGAGTTTTTGCCACTGGGTTTTTGCCTGGCCAAAGATCATCGGGTGGACTGGTAATCCTAGACCCGGGTCATTGGACGGGGGATAGGTATTATTCCCACTTTGACTATATGCGCCCACTTGCGTGGATGAAGGAGGAAAACAACTATTGGGAATAATATACTTTGCCCATATTTACCTAGGGCTTATGATACAGATGGCATGTTGGTTAGTCTGTTTAAAATTGGTTAACATGTCAGCTATTTGCAATAATTATTGTTATGGTTCTGGTCCTTGCTCTACTTGTTTATGCTATTTTTAAGACTATTGTATTCTGCATTTACAAACATACACGCAACACTGTTCCTGCAAAATCCCCAAATTGCTACTCTGGTGACTCGGTCCCTCTGGTCACTATTCTCCAACCCTCGATTGTCAGCTGAATATTCAGGGAAGATTTTTGTGGAAGCGTATTAACCAGACACACACTCTTTGCTTTCCATAATCTTCAAGTGTATTATAAAAAGGATGGCATATTTATACAGTATTGATCATGAACTTTGACATACATTGGTCAAAATATGCTTACAAAAGATAAACGTTGCTAAAAGCGGAAATAGCTGATTTTTGCAGAAGACCACATTTCTTGTTGTCAAGCATGTCTTTTCCATGATACTTTTCTCGGAAGCATCAGGTCAACGTTACTTTGCGGATGCGTCTGTTGATTCAAAAGCAGAAGTGATAAATCAAAAATAACCTGTGGTTTGTCTAGTTTTTTAGCTCTTGTGTAAATCTTAAGAAAGAGAATATAATATCAGAAATTATAGATGAGAATCATTAACCCCTTCCCTTCATTCCCCTCTTTGAGCAAGACCTTGCTCATACCCCATTTAAGGAGTCTTGGTCAGACAACCAGCCATCTGCCATGGTATATTCAGGATTGCTAGTCAATCCTGCAGGTCTTTCATTATGTCTTCGGCCACTATTCCCATAGCATAGGACTAGGCATCTGACCAGTACCACAAACTTATATTCATCATAGCAATTTGGGGATTTTGCTGGAACAGTGTTGCGTGTATGTTTGTAAATGCAGAATACAATAGTCTTAAAAATAGCATAAACAAGTAGAGCAAGGACCAGAACCATAACAATAATTATTGCAAATAGCTGACATGTTAACCAATTTTAAACAGACTAACCAGCCGGTCATCTGTATCATAAGCCCTGGGTAAATATGGGCAAAGTGTATTATTCCCAACAGTTGTTTCCTCCTTCGTCCACGGAAGTGGGCGCATATAGTCAAAGTGGGAATAATACCTATCCCCCGTCCAAGGACCGAGGTCTAGGATTACCAGACCACCCGATGATCTGGGGCCAGGCAAAAACCAAGTGGCAAAAACTCATATTTGAGGAAAAAGCACATCTGGGGAAAACCTGAGTGGGGACCGCGATCGTGTTAGACATGTTATCCCCTCACAGTTGACACCACTTATGACTTATAATACCCGCACCTGTGAGTACATAGCTCGGGTATCGGGAGGAATTGGGAAACACTTCTTACATATTAATTAAATTATAGTCTAGCTTGAAATTCTGACAATAATCACAATCAGGACCTTGCGTCCTATATCTTTTAACCATTTCCCTATTCCAAAGGTCCAGTCAAAACCAGTCATATCCTCACGCAGTTCCTCAAAACATGGGAATCCATCCTTGGCACACTCATCATATATCAAAAACACACATAGTACATCCATCCCTGAGTCAGCTAACACTTCCTCTCTCTCCAGCTAACCCTACAAAAATAAAAATAAAAATAGTTCAATAGTTCAGCATAGTTCAGAAAAATAGAATAAGTCTTTCACAGAGTACAAAGAAAGCAGTTTAGACACCAGACATTTTGTTCCATAAAATGGCTAAGGGTAGCATATGGCTGACAACAAGACAATGTCAGCTTCCACATAGTTCTTCTTTTGTTTGCTGGATTTTCACCACAATGCTCTGTGCAACACCCCAATGGTTGAAAGGGTTATTACAGAACCAGCGGTATTAGACAGCACTGCACCTTCAGGACTTTCCAGGTTCTTGCGTGCAAAGTTTATGTCCTCATAAATAAGTATCTCAGTTTCTTCGGCCTGCATGGATAATGACCAAACAGATGTAATTGCAAAATACTTATTGCATGGTCAGCCAGAGAGATTGGTGTGTAGTCCCAGAAATCAGGCGGCACAAACACTCCAGGACGGTCTCTACAATCATACAAACACAAGGATCAATACAACATGAATTAATTACCTAGGCTAAAACTTAAATTAGAGATTAAGGTTAAACCCTTAATTTGTGTAACATGTACTTCTCTTATATTTTATGCAATCTGTCTTCTATGAAGTTTTACATAATACCTCTTTGGAATGCCTTTGTACGGATGAGAGTAGCACTCACTCTATAGAAATCCTTGTTAGGATGAATATTAAAACACTAACATATACATATGGGGATAATTCCCAATAAAACTCTGTTCCTAAACTGGAACCTTGATCTGATATTCAAAATTAATTACTTTAATAATCCCAAATAATTCAATACTCTTGGATTAACACCTAAAACTATATAAAATATTACAAACCTGAACCACCTGTGTATTAGGCTGGGGCTGTTGGGTGTGGGTATAGATTGGAAGCTGTGGTTGATATTGAGGAATCTGTGGGGGTGGTTTTGGGCACTCATTTTTTCAGTGACCCTGCTATCCACAATTGCTGTATCTTCCCAAAAAAATCATTTGGGGTCAAAAAGGACCAGTCACAGACCAACAAGGAACAAAAGTGAACAAAGAGGAAGCATATTCCATATGCAGGTCGGGATTACCTAACTCACACCCCCTCTTTGTGTACCCCTCTTTGTACCACACAGATTTACTATTAATAAGCTTTTAAAGGTTTTATATAAAGCAAGGTTGTCTAGGGGTATATACCTTCATATAGGGCTTGCAATACTGACAGTCTGTGTCATGAGCATAATGTAGACATGCGGTTAGGTACTTTTCCATTATTATAATATATTGAAAACACTAAGACCTTGCAAATTTTTAAAACACATATTGCTTCCTGTACCTGGGGCCATGCAAGGATGTAATTGGGACATATTTCTAATTGAGTATCAAAAATCTAACCACAAAACTAAATGTTATACGCTTATCAAGAAAACAAGTTTAACCCGTTAGTGCGTACTTTGGTTAGCCTCTTTGCATAATTTGGCTCCTAGTGAGATTATTATATTATTTATTAATCCTCTTCTGGATCTGCAAAATGCTTTCAATTTACCCATACAAATATAATACAGTAGTTTAGGAGATTAAAATTACCTCACTTATAAATTTCAGAAATTGTCTAATCTCCATTAAAATACCATTTTATTATTACCCCATAATCAAGGTGGCATACTAGATGAATCTTACTTTGACACAAACAATGCAATATACTTTAAAAGTAGAGTTAACTCTGAGCTGGACAATACTCCCCTATTAGAACTCCTTTATGAGGGAGAGACATCTTGTCCATTTATCCTTTTTATCAGTAAAAGAATGACTTTCAGGATTAATCAATTTGCAAATGGAAACGTGGATCCACGATTTGAACAGCAGAAGTTTGCGGGGCCCCTTTCACTTGGGATGTAACAAGCGCTTTTCTTGCTCCAGGAGCGATAGCATACAATTGTTTCATTCTAGCCGGCTGGACAGCATTTCACCTTTTGTAAAAACACTAAATGCTTGCGTTAATGATATGCAAATCACTCTGCTAGTTAAACTCCTACACAATGGACAATAAAATACATGAAACACATAACACACCAATTCATTTCAAACCATATAACTCATACTCAGCATCCAATGTAATATTACATGTCATCTCACAAAACAGACATCTCACAAAACAGACATCTCACAAAACAGACATCTCACAAAACAGACGTAGTAGAAACACATAATGGATACCCAGCAGATATGCCAATACAGAAAACACATTCATGGGCACGCAACTACACACTGTGTCCCTCCTAGGAAACACGGGTAGACACAATATGAAAGCAGTCTTAAACTAACACCTCCAAATCTCCATTCCCATATAGCTATATCAGAACACAACACAGAGCCTCTCTAAGCTCATAGAACTACTCTTGGCCAAAACGCTAGTATTCAACAGCTAATAAAACAGTTATTTGCTAGGTTATTTGACTGGCATTTTTATCAGTATCACTAGACTGAGACAAACTGATTCAAATATAATTTAAAACAACACAGCAACATATAAATTAAACCACTCTCCAGTTAAGCTGCACACTTCACACATTATCACAGTCACCATTTACACAGAATAAACAGTTAACAGCTGTATTCAGAACATATTATTGGAAGGTATACAAATTTTAGTTTGTATTAGATTTATTTTAGGGATTCTTATGTATACTTTTTATTTATTTATTTATTTTAATTCTTATTAACTTCATTACTTTAATCTACTATAGTATTGTATATAGAGAAAGGATCCATTTATATAGCACGCTCATAACTCAAATATTTGTATGAAACTTCCATTAACTAACCTGAGATGATACTGCATCAACTTAAATCTTATAGAAATTGAGCAAACATTTGGACCAGATTACACAGACATGGTTTCACCAGAATCTTACAGAACTCTCAGAGACTTAAAATTTTTTATAGACCGGTCAGTCTCCAAGAGCCTTAGTAACACAGGTAAAAACCTTTGTCCATGATCTCTGATCCAGGCTATATACCACAATTTAAAAGAACATAACACATATAATGTTAGACACAGAAGACACAAAACATATGCAGTAGTTATTACACTGGATCATTTAAAAGGAATCTGTTGCAATAAAAAAGGTTAGTTTACAGCGCAAAATGAAGCATGTGTTGGACCGCTGAAAATGTAAATGTTGCTCTTATTTACAAACAAAAATCATATTTACAGTATGGATCCGCTGCAACAAACACACAGGGCAGGGAAGATGTGCTGATTGGTGTTCTATACAATTAATCCCATATGGGGAATTAACTTTCAAATACTAATGAAGTGACTTTTTGTCTCAGTTCTAAAAATACTGAGCTCATCATGCAAACAATGCAACACATTTACACTATCCCACTCTCATAGAAAGTGTAGTGGGCTTATGGTATTAAAGCAACAATCATATCAGGCACACAGATCCCATGTGAAATAACTTGCAATAAAGCAGAGTAATAAACTTATACTTCTATGCAACAGAAAGAATAAAGCAAAAGATTTAAGTAGGTCTATCAGGCAAAACCTGCGAGTCAGTTCTTTTCTAATATACAGTACTGGTATCTTATATATATATATATATGTATATATATATTGGTCACTCAGGACCTGAACTCACATTTCCCATACTGCTGACTCAGGGTGGACACACTACTAACTTCAAATGTGCCTTAACAAGATTCTCAGTGAGTATATTTTCAGGGTTAGCATATAAAGCAAAAAGAGTTTAACTATTTCATATCCTTACAGTCAGTACTTAATGATTATAAACCTTGTTTAAGCATAAAATACATATGAACAAGAAAAGTTAACTACTTTATATTCTTGCATGGTAATTTCCCATTCCTAGGACAAATCTTTCAAACACTTATTCACACTCACAACCCACTTAAGCAAAAGGATGACAACTAGGGACCAGAGAAGGTAAGTTTCAAATACTTGTATATACTTTGTCTCTAACTTTAGTATATTCACTTATATACTAATAAATCACCTATATCTCTTTATAGGCAGGCACCTTAAAACACTACAGTCTAGTTCCCTTACTTAGACTGGTCTAGTTCCCTTACTAGACTGATCTCTGGACCTTTATGTAAACTGAGTCACAATACATGTATACATAAAATAACCTTTCCTAAATCTAGATGTAGACTTACAAAACCATGGGGATCATAGATTCAGGGTGTCAAAAGAGACACAAGGAATTACTACTCACCCGAAATGGTTTGGCTACATCCCACCGCTGCCACCAAGCTGAAAGGTAAGTTCTATCCTAAGTGACTCGGTCCAACTTAGGCGTTCTCTGGTCTCCGTTGTTGGCTGAATTCAGGGAAGAATGATGGAGCAAAATGAAACACGCACACAGTTTGCTTTTCCAAAGATCTTCAAGTGTATTATAAAAAGGATGGCATATTTATACAGTATTGATCATGAACTTTGACATACATTGGTCAAAATAAAAGCGGAAATAGCTGATTTTTGCAGAAGACCACATTTCTTGTGGTCAAGCATGTCTTATTTTCCATGATACTTTTCTCGGAAGCATCAGGTCAACGTTACTTTGCGGATGCGTCTGTTGATTCAAAAGCAGAAGTGATAAATCAAAAATAACCTGTGGTTTGTCTAGTTTTTTAGCTCTTGTGTAAATCTTAAGAAAGAGAATATAATATCAGAAATTATAGATGAGAATCATTAACCCCTTCCCTTCATTGGGTTTCCCAAGTATCATAGATATTTATCTTGCAAATTAGTTTTTTCATATCTATAGAACCCAATTGGATAGTGTAACAAGGGAAGGGTGGTATATCCTAGAAAGCGAGAGATGCCAAGTAAAGGATCTTAGCTCTATCCTTTGGCATAGGTACACAGACATGAAGATTTTGCTTATTAGACAATCTAATTTATGTATAGATTCAATACTAGAAATCTGGAAAGTAATAAAAAGAAAAGCTAATATGGAGAATAAAATCTCAAATAATCTTAAAGTGGAATTACTTCCATATTATGTTACAGATTTAAATATAAGAATCTGGATCCAAAAAGGCATAATCCAAATAGACAATCTGTACTATAATGAAAAAATTAAATCCTTCCCACAATTAATACAAGAATTTCAATTGCCAAACAAGGAACTATTTACATTCTTGAGAGTAAAAAATTACTTAACCCAAAACATTATAAGACACCCCCAGGAAGGAACTAAAATGATCTGTTCACTTCTAAATTACAAAAAAATAGAGAAAGTTTCCTCTATGGCAATGAATGCTATATTGAAATTGGAGGTTCCTCAGGTTATTATTGCAACACAAAAGTGGGAGAAAGATTTAAGTATTACAATAAACAAAGAAATGTGGTGTGCAATACTACCCCATGCTTGTGAAATTATACACTGTCTGAATTTACTCTGTTTAAAGTAATCAACAGATGGTATCTCGTCCCCACAAGACTTGCTAGAATGTATAGTTCAAGTTCACCGACATGCTGGAGATGCAAGAGGAACTTGGGTTCCTTTTTGCATATCTGGTGGGAATGTGAGATTGTAGGTAAACTGTGGCAGGAAATGTTTGATTTTTTAGAGAATTTATTATGTATGTCCATACCAAAGCTCCTTGAGAATGCTTTACTTCATCTTAACATCAAACCTTTACAACAGAAAGAGAAGGTTATTTATATTCATTTCATGATAGCGGCCAAATTAATTATAGCACGCAACTGGAAGAGTTCTTCTTTATTTTCCTTGGACAGACTGATATTCCAAGTTAAGTTTCAACTTGGAATGGAAGCTCAGTTGGATAGGGCTCAAGCAAGAGATCCAAGGAAAGTACACAATGCTGTCTGGTTGGAGAAATTGAAAGGAGAGGGTTAGGCAGAACCTGAGTGAATAGATATGCAGGAGTTAATCGCTTTTTGAGGGATTCTCCTGTATACAGTTTAAAAATGGCCACAGAACAACTGAGTATAAAGAATGGGCTTTCCCAGTAATCCCACCGGCATGGGAATTGGTATGTGGTTCGCTGGGTACTATGTCGTATTTGTAAGAGGAGACTATAGTGTTCTATATGTAATTTTATAGGATCTAAAATTGAATAACTCCTTTAGAAATATCAGGGTCAATCTCAGAGAACAACTTCTGGGTTCTATAGTACAAAAAAGATGGTTTGCATCTTTCTCAAAAGGGAACAAATGTTCTCAGTGAGCAGTTCAGAGGTTTTGCTAGGATGTATTTAAACTAGGAGGGGGGCAAAAGGGTGATAAAACATCAATCCAATTGTCCCCCAAAACAAGGACAGAAGGTGTCTGTAGCAAGTGTGTTAAAAATGATAAGCTTAGAGTCATGTCTACAAATGCTCGCAGTTTAGGGAATAAGATCCATGAACTTGTGGCAATAATGGCAACTGATAGTGTTGATTTAGTCGCTGTTACTGAGACATGGTACAATGAGAAAAATGACTGGGACATAGCAATACCAGGGTACTCTTTATATAGGAAAGATAGGGAAGGCAAGAAAGGGGGAGGGGTGGCCTTGTATGTGAAGGATAGCATAAAATCTAACCTAATAAAAGTTAGTGAGGCAAACATAGAGTCCGTTTGGGCTACGTTAGAATTTGGTAATCACACAGTAACTCGTGTAGGTGTGATTTATAGGCCCCCAGGACAAATTGAAGAGTTAGATAATCTACTAGTTGAGGAAATAGCTAAAATGACAATGAAGGGGGAAGTTATCATCATAGGTGACTTTAATCTTCCTGATGTAAATTGGAAAACAAAATTAGCTACTTGTGCTAGGAGCACACATATTCTAAACTCCCTACTGGGATTGTCTCTAAAACAAGTTGTTGAGGAGCCAACTCGTAAAGAGGCCATACTAGATTTAGTGTTAACAAATGGAGATTTGGTATCAGATGTTACTGTAGGTAGTTTAGGATCCAGTGATCATCAGTCAGTGTGGTTTAATATAAGAACAGTGACGCAAGTCACACCACACAAAAACAAAAGTTTTGGAACTTTAGAAAAAACAGGCTTTTCTAAAGTAGGAAAATATAGGTAGAGAGTGGTATCAGACTGGAGCAATTTAATGGAGTCCAAGAAAAATGGGATTATTTAAAAGTTGCTCTATTAGAAAGGCAACAAGAAAATTACATTAAGGCTTGTCAGTAAAGCAAAAATTCAAAAGAAACACTGTAGCTCATGGAATGTAGCCAAAATAGTTAAAAACAAAAAGTTAGCATTTAGGAATTATAAAAAAACCCAGAGTGAGGAAGACAAAATGATCTATAAGATTAGGCAGAAAGAGGCAAAGCAAGTTATAAGAGCTTCCAAATCACACACACAGAAGAGAAAATAGCACAGTCAGTAAAAAAGGGGGATAAAACATTTTTAGATACATAAATGAGAAAAGAAAAGTAAAACAAGGATTAGTTAGATTAAAAACAAAAGAAGGAAGGTATGTAGAAGAGGATAAAGGTCTAGCTGACTGCCTCAATGAATATTTTTCTGTATTTCTGTATTTACAGATGAAAAATGAAGGAAAGGAACCTCAGTTAAGAAAAAGGATAAATGAGTCATTTTGTACACGTGAGTTTACAGAGGAAGAGGTTCTACCTATTTCAACTGTCAAAAAGTAGACAAATAAGTCAATGGGACCTGATGGGAATACACTAGAAAACTGTAAAACTTGGTAGTATACCATAAAACAATGATTTATTTAACAATCATTGTTAACAGGAGTAGTCCCAGAAGATTGGAAGTTAGCGAATGTTGTGCCCATTTACAAGAAAGGTAATAGGGAGGAATCGGGCAACTATAGGCCAGTAAGCCTTACTTCAGTAGTGGGGAAAGTGATGGAAACTATGTTAAAGGATAGGATTGATGAACATCTAAAAACACATGGATTTCAAGATCAGAGACAACATGGGTTTACTTCAGGGAGATCATGCCAAACTAATCTTATTGATTTTTTTGATTGGGTAACTAAAATTCTAGATCAGGGTGGTGCAGTAGACATTGCTTACCTAGATTTCAGTAAGGCTTTTGACACTGTTGCACATAGAAGTCTTATCAATAAACTGCAATCTTTAAGTCTGGATTCCAATATTGTTGAATGGGTAAGGCAGTGGCTGAGTGACAGGCAACAGAGGGTTGTAGTTAACCCCTTAAGGACACAACTTCTGGAATAAAAGGGAATCATGACGGAATATTTCTGTCATGTGTCCTTAAGGGGTTAATGGAATATATTCGAAGCTTGGACTTGTCACCAGTGGGGTACCTCAGGGATCTGTACTTGGACCCATTCTCTTTAATATTTTTATTAGTGATATTGCAGAAGGTCTTGATGGTAAGGTATGTCTTTTTGCTGATGATACTAAGATATATAACAGGGTTGATGTTCCAGGAGGGATAAGCCAAATGACAAATGATTTAGGTAAACTAGAAAAATGGTCAGAATTGTGGCAACTGACATTTAATGTGGATAAGTGCAAGATATGCATCTTGGACGTAAAAACCCAAGGGCAGAGTACAGAATATTTGATAGATTTCTAACCTCAACATCTGAGGAAAGGGATTTAGGGGTGATTATTTC